AAATTGCAATCGATAACCAGAAAGACAATATGGTTCACTTCCTCACCATATTCCATAATCCAGATATAAAGAATACAATATAAATGTATATTGTCCTTAGAATCAACACAATCAGGTGCAGAAAATCAGGGCGTGGTAAATAGGGGCGCAGTAAATCAGAGCGCGGAAAATCTGCGTTTATTGAGGCTGTAAAATAAGGTGGATCATTACAAAAATATTTTCAATATTGAAAGTTTTACCTTCATATCTACAAAATGATAAATATTCACTGTTTTAAACAAAATACTGTAAATTAACAATTTATACTGGCTGGCACGATCCTTTTTTACTCGAAAACTTTCCATAAAAACAGTAAAATCAGTAAAATCACATTGCAAGAAATGACGAATTATCGCTCCAAAATAATCATTGCAGCATCACGTGAAGTTGACTAATAGTAAAATTGAACTTTGAGTAAAACTGTCTGTAAATCTCAACTTCTGCAATTCTGCATCTTCACAACACGTATCAAGTTATTAATAACTGTCTTTTAGCTTGTTAGTGCTGTCAGGAGCTTTCGATTTTGTCTAACTATTCAATACCTATATCCTATAATAGTCATTCACCTTGCCTATCAGTTTAACATTATACGGTTTCGTCCGCCCTCTTTATAAATTTGCACAACTTTGAGTACTCATCAAAGCACCAATCCAGTAACCATGACAAAGTATGCAGTTGCGATTACAACCCTCATTCCTCCACTCCCTTTCTCCGTATCAACAGTGTAGTCAGTGTCGGGTTTTGTCTTCTGAGAGTTGTCACCACGTGGCAGATCCTCCTCCGGGTCCGCTACTTTCTCAACCATGCTTATTGTTGGAGTAGGTTGTTCCGTGGTAGCTTTGCTCGTCACCCCTAGTGTTATCCAAGCTTTTGTTTTCTCCCCGTCTCCTATCTCAGTTTCTCCTGTGGCAGGTACTGTCAGTACCATTGTCAGTACCAGTATCAGGACGGAGACAGTGAGCGTGCTCATGATCCTAGAGGACAGGGCAATGAGAAATAATTTGTGAAATTCGTATGAAACAAGGTAAATTTAGAATGGTACCAAATAATTGAAGCATTAACTATCCTGTAATTAGATTATTGCAAACTACCACTACTACTACTACTACAAAACCTCAAAATAATAAGAATAAGACTGTTAAAATTAGTAATTGAGAGCCAGATTAAAAAGTAACCAGGATTATTATTTAGGAAGGAGCACTCAGCAAGCGAAGTGAATTGGGTCCGGCGATATCCGGGAGCTGTAGCCCCCGGCAAATTACAAAACAATACAAAAACGTCGTAGAACTAACAGGAAGCCTTAAAAAGTGGAAAATTTAAGAAACTAAATAAGCTGAAAATTGTTTAATTAGATATTATCTCATATTTAAGCGATTGCTGCTTTCCAATTACAGCAACTGCCAACTGAACTGGTTGATATACATACCATTCTGAAAGAGGATTAGAAACAGTCATAAATTATAATTATGTCATATTTTGCGGACAGCTTTTAATTAACAATTATGACAGACTCCAAAATTCCCGACACAGATTTGTGGAATCCAACAGTGGAATTCAATTCAGGTAAAATTCACTTCGGTGGAATTCTACTGAGATATTGGAATTCCATGGAATTCCACAACAATATTTATCCGCATAAATATAGCTTACTAGTGTGGAATTCCGCATTGTCCAGCTTCTTGGATTTTGCCATAGTAATCATAAAGCGAACTGTTGAGTATGTCCATTGTCCAAGGTGGTTTAGTTAGTTCGTGTTTAGTTCGTGTTTCAAGTAGTGGATATTTTAGTCACTCTGACTGCTCGATACCTACTTTTAATAGAGGTACATGTGGTACCCCCCTTGACTCAGATGTTGTGTAAGAAGTGCATAATCATCATTGGTTAACCTTATCAAATATCATTAATCTAATTAAAATCAAGTCATTTTATTACTGTATGTTTAAAATTAAAAAGCTCTGAAATGTTTTGAACTTACAATATTAAGATGAAAATGACAGAAACCACACATCTAAAAACAGTAGAACAATCACTGCTGAATATGATGACAGTGCAGTTTGGTAATTAGGAATTACTGTTTAAATAAGACTAAAATTAGGATCATTAGCTTGTTAAGAAGCAGATCATCCGGTCAACAAATAAGATCGGTAATTTTGCCTATTACATTAATTTTAAACGTTACACCAACACCGCACGGTTATCTTATTTTTCAATTTAATGGGATAATTAACTGAGAAAATGAGCAAACAAGAGGGATAATTAAAGATTTTTTAAACGGCGTCAGAAAAGAGCGGCGGCAAAAACAATTAAAAAAGACACGTGCAAAGTAACTGGTCAACTGCTAAACCGTTGATAGGGAAACTTTCCGGAAAGAACCCGCTTAACTGGGATGAAAGAGTTTTACTGTCTAAATGTTCTGGTACAGGGTATGTTTCCCTGTTTACAGCTCTCTTTCCCTGTTTACAGCTCTCTTGATGAACGTAATACATTATGGCCTGTTTATCCGTGCTAGCTCACTCTTCCTCGTTATACACGTTGCTATAGACTATAGAGTTGGAGGCGATACACGTATATTTTTACACGTGGCCAATCACCGGCTGATCAGTGATCAAGCGACTAATTCTCTGGTGACCGGCCATTAAGAGCCCCTCTAGATCACGTCATGCAATCAGTGACTGTTTAATTGGTAGTGTAACTATGGTAACAGTGACTGTTTAATAGGTGATGTGATCCGAGTGTAACACTTGTTAGCAAAGCTTGAAAATGTTATAGCGGGGTTATAGCTTTGTTGTTCCCTTTGTTCGAAAAGCTTAATCTGTAAATGTTCATGAGTTAACATTAACAGACTAGATTTATTGGATACCCCTATTATTGTACGTGTCCTTGTTGACTAATTGCTGAGGGGAACTGAGGGGGACAGCAGTCTTACACTAATAATATACATGTGCTCTAAGAACGTACTCCACCTTAGCTAATAAACAAAAGATGATCTAGAAAATTCCTGAGAGGCAACAACTGCCAACTGCCAAGTGTCAACAATAGGAACACTTCCATAGACCGTACCCTCTTAAAGATCAACCCACTTTAAGCGCCAGTTCTAAGTATTTCTTGATACTGTTTTCAATGTTGTTTAACTTTATATGGAACAAGTACTTGACGAGTACTTGACATCATTTTTTGGCACATTTTTTATGAGCTGCAAAAATTTGAAACTCATTTCGAATACAGTTAAACTGCTCTTCTGGTATCAGTTTATATTCTGTACAAGTATACTTAACTTTAATGTCATCAGTTGATCAATTGGGCGGTAGATAGATGGATCATAGATTGCACTTTTAACAGTTTCAATAACCTTTTAGATTCAATGGTTACTACTTCTTCGATGGTTCTCAGTTGTGGATAATTCGTATTAAATATTTCTTAAACGTCAGAGCTACTCCAACATCTCGTGGTGCTTTAAGCTAGCATGTTTATCAATTTATATATTATGATGACGTATAATGTATATATTGGTCAGATTGAAGGGATCTTAATGGTCTATCAGCCTCTAAAAAGGTTGTTAATTTAAAATTAACAGCAAATTAACAACACACTCTCTCAGCATGTTCATCTTGGTAAATGGTTCACAGCTTCTCTGAATCCGTTACTTACTTTTTCAAAAAACTTAACCAGCTTAATGTGAGTTTTGTGTCAAAGTTTTAATTCTTTTTAAAAATATTATTCTCGAAGTTTTTAACTGATTAAAAAGTTCAGAATCTTTTATTATGTTATAATATGATCACATGTTTCTTTTTCGACAAAGGAAACCGCTAGCTTTAGAAAAGCCCGGAAACTTCAAGATTAGATGTTAATTTTGGAACTGTGGAAAAATTATACTGAACAACGAACATCCAGATCAAAATAAAGCTGAAATACCCGTATCAAACTGCTAATTATAGAACACTGTGTTAAAGCTGATAAACCTTACCACAGTGAGCTAGCTAATCCGACCAACTGAGTGGTAATTGGTTAATAGGTCGATAATTAGATAATTACAACGCTCTCGCCACTTCCTCTCCAGAGCCATCCTATATTCACACACATTACATAATACATACAGTCTTGTTTGTAAGATAGTTATTTAACATAATATAATGTCATTATCTATAGTGATTGGATAATTAATGTCAAGTGTCAAATGTAACAAAGATGTAAATTAAATCACGTCAAGTTATTAGAGTTGGCACAATCTCTTAGGTTTTAGCTCGTTTAATAGCTAGGTAAAAGATAGCTTTACTGCGTATAACAGTGCAGTATCATTTGTCCCAAAAAATCAGAATAATCAAAAATTATTTGGAACTCCCAAAAACTGTCTACTGCGTATACATAGTCCTGATTTTATAACAGTTTTTCAAATGGCCTGCATAATTTAGACTTTATTGATGGCACATTACTAGAATTTATTATACTAAGCAGAATAAAAATAAGGATTAAATTTACGTTTCAAGTTACTAAATATATTGAACCCTAATCTGTTGTCAACCACCTTGGTCTAGAAGACTTGAATTTAAAGTGAATTTTCTAGTCAGGTCAAGAAGTACACACTTTATTCTAGGATATTCGGACTCCTAACTCTTATCAGCACGATACATTGTCATCTTTATAATACATATATTATTATACTGAATGGTAAAATGTACTCCTCATCTAAAATTAGAACACTGTGATCACATTGATATTTTCCATTCTTTTTAAAGCCCACTAGGAAAAAACAATCTCACTCCATCTACTCACCACACTATTTTAAATACGGACTTAGCTATTTCTTAGAATTCTTCAATGAAAATTTAAATATATAATACCTGTAAAGGTAGCTAGATAATGGATGTACAATGTACAATTCTCATTAATCCTGGCAGCTTGCCATGACTACATGTTGTAATTATAATTAGCGTGTTTAATTGCTAATCATATTTCCTTTTCAGTCTCTTGACAAACACGAGCTTAACTTCGTGTGCAATACTGTTGTCTTAAATCACTGGAGGAACGAGGAGTGTCAGGACGACACTTGTTTCAATGATAACGAGGTTTGACATACTCCTTCATAATATTATATATCTGCAAATTATTTTTTCCCGATCCATGACTCAAAGTGCCGAAGGCACAAAAGAGTCAAGGACAAGGGTTAGCGATCGAGGTTTTTTTTAAATATGGTAGCTTTGCGACCGTGCGAGTGTGCGACCGTACGTGCCTGCGAGCACTGTTATCGCCCACGTGACTACCTGCGCAAAGTTATTTTGCGTGACAATCTGAATTATATAATTGTTGGCGCGCGGCGCTGAACCAACCAAGTACATTATTAATTTCATCATGTACGTATCCCACTAGGCACTAATTGATAGCATATTATTATTATTTTGAGTTAGTATTACTATTTTGCACAGATCCGTGTCAGGTTGCATAAACAATAAACATATGGTTACATAGAAGTATACACGATTTTCAAATTCAATATAGAATTATATTAACTGGGCGGCGCTCGGCAGTCGGCATGTCACTTCGCCATATTTGCATGTTTATATAAACAGTAAAGACTGGGCCGTCCCCAGATTGTATGGAATATGATAAATACGCCATCACTGATCGGGAAATTGAGCGGCCATCCACAAAAGAAAAGCGGCCGCATTTCTTGTTACACTTTCGCCAGTGAAAATAAATTTGAGCAATGAGTGTCGAAAATCTCCAAAATTTAGCTATGCAGTCGAGTGAATTTCACTGTAGATTTACAAATAGAGAGTAATAGATAAATGAATTGTCCTTATAATTAATTAATCATCCTAATAATTAATTAATTATCTTGATTTTAATTAATTAATTAACCTGCAGGAGATAGAAGAGGACTGTCAGTCTGGTTTTAACAGGAGGTACAGTTCCGGTAACAGATTATCTGTGTCTTGTGAAGATGATTTGGAGGATGATTTAGATTCTTCTCGAACTTCCAGTTACACCGACATACCAGTTAGTTTTCTTTAATATCCCAACTTTCTTTGTTAAAGTTTTTTATGATAGGTGCAGCGACTGTACATTGAACAAGCTGTTTTTGTATTTGTTGACTGAACGAGTTTTAAAGTTCATATCACCCCTCAAGACTTATAATTCATCCATTAATTTCCAGCAGGAGAAAAGGTCTTCCATCTCGTCATGTCCAGGCCGGGTCAGCATCTCAGAGTCTATTTTCTCTGAAAACCCAGTAATCAGATGGCAGAACTCTCAGTCAGATCTTAGAATCTCTAGTATCTCTGATCTTAGCTATCTGCCTGAAGAAGAGGTAGATACTTACAACAATATAATATACATAGTATACATACAGGGTGGCCCATGATAGTCTACCCATCCTTATCTCTTAAAATTGTTACAGGTCGCTGAGATCTTGCTAATTATTTTAAAAACAAAAAGTGGCATAACTTATGTTCTGATAAATATTTTTTCTTCTAAATTTCACAGAATGTTAATAACAAGTAGATGAACCTTTGTGGCAAATTTTGTGTGATTGAGAGCTTCACTGAGCTTATTTGACCAATTAAGCCCCTGAGCGAGCTAGCTTGAATTTCTCACCCAGAACTGTTTACATTGGTTAATAGAAACCACCAAAAAAAATCCTGGGTAAAAAAATTAAAAAACCACCGATTTATTTATGTTTTACCAATTCTATTCACCACGATGCATCGCACATTCCATTCTCTACACTGCTGTACAGTGTACATCCTATATTTTAACTGCAGATAAGGACTATCACAGATGATCCTTCCTGCTTGTTTATATCGTTCTGCTCACTTGCCTTAACAAATTTAAAATTATAGCTGGATGATTAGCCTACAATTTTATCGATTTTACAAACGGTGGTTTGAAATAGGTTTACAGCAGGTCAGCCGATTCCCATGAGATGAGTAAATAAACTTGAAAAGAAAACAAACGATAACGTAGATTTCCGGTCGATAATCCATAATCTTATGAATTCTCATGGGAATTTTACGATAGCAGGGATAGATTTCCTCCTTAAAAGTCGCAACAATTTATTAACCATTAACGATCATCTCATCATGCCTCTACTAACTCTCCAGCAACGGATATTTATTGTTTCTGAATCCAAGGATACCCCCTTCGCAGCTCTTATCCAACTGTTCATAGCGAAATTCCCTGGAATCACTCCCCCTACTAGGAAAGCAGTCTACAACCTTAAGAAGAAATTTACAGAACATGGAGTTGTCACCAACCGACAAAAGGATGCATCTGGTCCACCATCTACGGGAGTGACCTTTGAGAACACTGTGGCTGTAGTAGGATCTGTGGCAGACCACCCCAGGCAATCGACCAGAAGACGTTCGGCCAATCTTGGCATACCTAGGACGACTTTGCAACGCATTCTGAGGACTGAACTGAAACTGTACCCTTATCGCTGGACAGTTCACCACACTCTGCAGCTTCAGGATCCACCAGTTAGAGTACGCTTTGCTGACTGGTTGCTTCTGAAAGATTCCACAAACGAGGACTTTATCGGAAACATCTGGTGGACCGACGAAGCCAAGTTCTGCCTCCACGGTTCCGTCAACAGCCACAACGCAATACACTGGGGCAGCCAGAGACCTGACTGCGTGCAGCAGAGACCTACTCAGAACTCTCCAAAGCTGAACGTCTGGTGTGCGATCTCTTCTCACGGAATCATCGGACCATACTTCTTCAAGGATGCAGCTGGTGCCACTGTAACTGTGAACGGAGATCGCTACCTACAGATGTTGCAGAGCTTCTTCATACCAGAACTCTTCAACTTCTGTGCACACCACGACCTGGATCCGTCTCTCATGAGCTTTATGCAGGACGGGGCGAGAGTGCACATCCCCAACCGCATTATTGATTACCTTGGTGACCAGTTTGGGAGCATGACGATCGGAGAGAAACTTGCTCAACACTGGCCAGCCCGCTCTCCTGACCTCACTCCTTGCGACTTCTTCCTGTGGGGATGGTTGAAGGATAAGGTCTACGAGAGTCTACCCATCCCCAACCTTGCTGCTTTAGAAGTTGTCATTCGTGACAACTTGCGGAACATCCCCATCACTCACTGCCAGAACTCCTGTTTATCAGTAGCCAAGAGGATGGACGTCCTGAAGAGCCGAGGCGGTGGTCACATTGAGCACCTTCTCTAAACGGTGATTTTAATCGCCAACACAAACGGTGATTTTAATCGCCAACACAAACGGTGATTTTAATCGCCAACACAAACGGTGATTTTAATCGCCAACACGGCGGGCAATGGATGAACCTTCTCGTGGTGCCTGCCGAGAAACGCAATTCAATTGATTTCAGTATCGATAAAATTGTAGGCTAATCATCCAGCTATAATTTTAAATTTGTTAAGGCAAGTGAGCAGAACGATATAAACAAGCAGGAAGGATCATCTGTGATAGTCCTTATCAGTTAAAATATAGGATGTACACTGTACAGCAGTGTAGAGAATGGAATGTGCGATGCATCGTGGTGAATAGAATTGGTAAAACATAAATAAATCGGTGGTTTTTTAATTTTTTTACCCAGGATTTTTTTTGGTGGTTTCTATTAACCAATGTAAACAGTTCTGGGTGAGAAATTAACGCTAGCGCACTCAGGAGCTAATTTTGTCAGACAAGCTCAGACTCACACAAAACTTAGCACGAAGTTGTGTCTAATTATGATTGACATTCTCTAAAAATTTGAAGCAAAAATATTAATCAGAACGTAAGTTATGGCGCTTTTCCATTCTGAAATAAAATAATTAGCAAGATCTCAGCGACCTGTAACAATTTTAAGAGATAAGGATGGGTAGACTATCATGGGCCACCCTGTATATAACAATACTCTTACTCCTTAGTTACCATTAGTTTTAACTAGGTGGATTTGTATTTGTATAGCTATAATTATCTTGCTGTATTCGTATGTGTGTTTCACGGTGTGAGTCTGGGTTGTTTGGAATGCAACAGAGTCGAATTTCAAAACTAATGACGTCAAAATATTACTTATTTACGATAAGCAACTTGCAAGAAATACAAGCTGTACAGAATCAGGTCATCGGTCACAAGTCTGGCGTGTACTTCTAATCAGCGTAAAATCTGTGTAACAATGTGTATAAATATGTGTTTAAATATCTGTGACTTTTCTTGTAAAATATGCGTGCTATAATGAGATATTTATTTACAGGGGACGGGAACACTATCATGTGACACAGAAGAGAGGTTGCAGTACTTCAGTACGATTACCAACGAAAAGGGACTTTCTTCCCAGATGTTCAAGTGTTTCTCTTGTTCTTCGGCTATTGGTAAGTTTCCATCCTCTGTTTTACACGAATTGATACCTTTCGTAGACATTCATTTTATTAAATTTTATGTGACTCCATATTTCGAATACGTTTTAGATTTTCCATTTTAAATCAAGTTTACAGAAACTATTTCTGTTTTCGGGCTTGTATTTTAACTTTCAAGTTTTATTTTCAGGTAACCAGGGGCAGGAGTTTAAAGTGTGTATATACGATAAGAGGTATTACTGTCGAGCTTGCTTCGGAACTACGCATACTGCATACCAAGCAAGATAATATATAACTGGGATCATAATAAATACAGAGGTAACCGTGAAATGACAGTTATTTATAGGTATTTATTTTGTATGTGGTCTATGACTGTTATTCTAGAAGGTTCACGAGCCTTTCAATGATTAATTGGTTGCTTTCCTGGCCCCTTACAAAGGAATGATGTTTTCTATCGAGTCCAATGTGGAGGTAGGTCTACATAAACATGAGATTGGCACGCGCGAAAAAATTCTGGATCATTGTAATGCGCAACACGCGTGTTTTAAATGCGGCGCGCGTGTTTAAGCTCTTTGTCATGTCTTGTATGATCGATCGAATCAAGAGTACCTTACTCGGTATTATTATGACCGGGATAAAGTGGCGGGTTTAGGGTAATTTCGCCATATTTTTTCCCGAACCACATTTTCACCGGTCGTTAATAAACCCGCCGACTCAGCTTTTAGGGTTCCCAAGGGGTATGGGTGCTCATATTTTAATCGTTGTCTAATATTCACTAAAGAAGACTATTGGGACACTTGTTGTAGGTTTTTCGACTTCATTTGGCTAAAATTGCAAAAAATTCACCTTTTTGCCCAATTCTTGTCATATATCCTTACTGTCAAAGTTGATTTAAATAGGCCAATTTTTAATTTCTCAGGTATTGACTATCTCTACATAATGAAATAGGACTCAAAGTAAAAGTAACAGTTAAATTAAAACTTGAATTAATTAAAACTGTCAATAACATGAATCAGTTTCATCAGTCATTTATTCATAATTCTAAACAATGTGAACGATGCATTCTTTCGAAGATTTTCTACAAATTGAGTCATAATGGTTATTTGATACACGTAAACATTTAATGCTAATTCAAAACAACGAATTTTCTAGAGTGCTAGACTACCAACACGTTACTAGCAATGCGAAAATTTCTAAACTTGCTTATTTCTAATAAGGAAATTTACATCTGAGACAAAATTTTTGAATCTAAAATTGAAAGGTTGGACACCGGTTAAATGGCGACCGGGAAAATGTGGTGGGTTTTGAGCAATTTCGCCATATTTTTCCCGAACCATATTTTAACCGGTCGTTAATAAACCCGTCGTAATAATCCCGAGTAAGGTAGGTATTCCCTTGTCACTTGTGCAGGATGGATCACATACATTACTAACTATCACATAACGAACTTGAAGCTTTTCTTTGAACCTAAAGTCGGTCATTTCGGACTTTTACTGAGTGGGCGCGGCCTGTAGTGCAAACTGCAACGAATCCAAACATTATATTATACTCTCATCTCATTATGTGCTCCCTACCATCTATTCTTCATGCAAGACAGAACTCTTACTGAAGATAATTCTCGATCAACGAGATCGAGAAACAACTCCTCTCCCCTGGATGGAAATGTTATTGACTTTACGAAACCTATCACCATCACGACGCCCGGATGCTATGTGCTTAGCAATCCTGACTCTGGTTGTAGAATCAGTCTCTTTCAGGATGTGTTTGCAAGCCAACTGTGTGACCAATTTTCCTCTGAAATCGAAAATACTGGCACCCTTAAACAGTACAACACAATCCACAGGCAGTCTCAGGCGCCACTTGCACTTCCAAGACTCTCGTCATGGTTTGGACCCGTAGACTATGCGTTCTCAGGAATCGTAATGAAAGCTAATTCTGTCTCCCAATGTCCTCGCCTTATTGCAGCATATCAGAACATGGCCGAAAACCTCTTCACACCCAACAACATTGATTGCTCCTCTGACTGCTTTTTGATCAACCAGTATAGAACTGGACGTGATTCCTGTGGTGAGCACAGTGACAACGAGCCAGAGGTCGACCTCTCAAAACCTGTCGTTACTCTGTCACTTGGCCAACAGCGCTGCATGCTCATCAGAGAGGCTAAGAACCCTGGAAATGCCATCACAGTCAAACTCGACCAGGGTTCAGTTCTTGTAATGCATGGTACTGATTTCCAAAAGAAGTATACGCATCAAATACCCAAAGATAATGTGATCACTAATTCACGTACCTCTGTGACCTACAGGACCTGCAGCTCCACTTTCCTAAGAAACCGAAGTGCCTTATCTACACCCCTGAAAGATATATCTATCACTCCTATACTTGCCCCCAAGACCCCTGGAGTCTCAGGCTCACCATCGCTACCTCTGCACAACAGACGTAGATCCTCCTTGTCTCTGTCTAGCTTCTCTCAAGTTGACACCAGCTCAGTTGGGTCTCCAGTGGCCAGTAGTTCTCCTTCCATAACCAGCAGCAAAGCATCAGTCTCTGATAGTGATACATTGCCTCTCAGCATAGATGCCATGCTTGAAGCCATTGATCTTATGAAAGACAAAACCGTGAAAAGCGAACTTTCTCGTCATGGCAGCACAAACTCTGGAACCCCTCTGGATTGTAAGAAAAGACTGAAGAAAGTTGCGAAAGCATGTCACAAACGCCTGAGCACGCTTCTTGCTGAGCCTCCAGTAGTCTCAGCTGAGCCCGAATGCGTTACCCATTCCCTCCAAACTTTGGAAAACTCTGTTATTGATCTACAATCCAAAATAAGTCTACAACATAGCACCCTCCAAACACTTGTCTTATGTTCTGACAGTAATTCCAATCAAAAAGTTAGTGCCAGCCCCCCTAACCTGTCTAATGAACTCAACACTATGGACAAGAGACTTGAAAAGTTAGAGGATATAATGAGCAGCATAAACGAAAAACAACATGAAACTGCCACCTCCCTTAAAGCCTTCGAAGCAGATGTCACTGCAATTAAGAACAAAGTAGATGACTCTAAGGCCTGCCTACAGTCTCTCCAGCTTAATGACCGCACCAACCCATCAAGAAAAAAGCCATCGCCTCATCCTCAAAACCAGAACCACCCAACCCACAGCCCTAGTAGACAAACGCGAAAACCGAAAAAGGTTCTACTCCTACATGACTCCCAGATGAACAACTTTCTACCTGAGTCATTTTCCTCTGGGTTCAAGGTGGAAAAAATGAAAGTAGGCTCTTATACTGACATGATAAAAGACCACTGTATGAGAGATGTCATTAAACAGCCAGAGGTCGACTGTTACATTCTCCAGCTTGGAGTCAACGACTACAGATACAGAACCTGCTCTGTTAATAAAGCGATTGAGGATGCAAAATCAGTCATCGATAAACTCCTCTCGAGCTCCAGCGCAAAGGTTGTCATCTCCCTACCCACCCCAACCCCTGGATTAATCAGTGAACTTACCAACCAATTTGTCTCAGAAATAACACAATTTGTCTCAGCTAAAAGAGGGTTAAGTGACTTTTACCGCCGCCTATATACTGTAAACAATACTGGAAACTTTTCCCGTGCCATCTCTGCTGCTGAGTCATCCCAAGACTCTCCTAACCCGTTGAAGGAGGACCAACTCCATGTCTCAGAGTATGGTTTGAAAAAACTTTGTTTGAATATTAAACTTGGCCTATACCGTGCCTTTGGTATGAGATCCCCTAGAAAGCAGCCCCCTACAGAGCGTTAGATTAACCCTAAAATTCAAGAAAAAACAAGTATCACGAGATCAAGTCGCTGTGATGTCCTGGAACATCCAGGACAGCACAGGAGACGGGTCTAACAAATTTGAAAATAGCGAATTTTTGTCAATCCTCAAACAAGCTAACATTCTTTGTCTCCAAGAAACAAAGAAGCAAGTTAAGATTGAAGGATACCTCTCTTTTAATAGCAACCGCAAAAATTCACGCTCAGGAGGGGTCTGCATTCTTGCTGAAAATGGCCTAAGAAAAGGTGTCTCTAGTGTGCTTTGTAATGAATCTGATGACATTATTGTTGCTAAACTGGACAAGAACTTTTTTAAACTTGATTTTGACCTATTTTTGGTATGTTATTATATTAGCCCTGCATACTCGTCCTATGTCAAGAAGAATCCAGATTATACTGCTAATACCTTCTCTGCTCTTGACTCTATCTGTATCAGACTACGTCAAAAGGGAGAAGTTATTATGTGTGGCGATGCAAATGCAAGAACTGGAAAACTCCCAGACTATATCCTTTCCTGTAATGCACCTGCTATCCATGACATCTATAACGACATTGGACTCGAGCACGACATAGAAGAACCAAGAAATAATTCTGACCTTACAATATCTGAACCCCACTGCCAACACTTTCTTGACATGGTTATCAATAACCAACTCAAAATTCTTAATGGTCGTACCCTTGGGGACACCACTGGAAAAATGACCTGTCACAAATACAATGGAAGCAGTGTGGTTGACTATTTTGTAATCACCTCATGGGCAAGAGATCATGTAAACTCTCTCCAAGTAAAAGAGTTTACATCATACTCTGATCATTGTCCATTAGTCTTGAAACTCACTACATTTGAACCATTTGTCGCAAACTTCCAGCTCCCAGACTTTTCTAACTTTCCTTGTGGCTATAAGTGGGATAGCAACACCTCCCATTCACTATTTAAAAAAGCCCTTACCTCGCCCGAAATTATCAACAATCTGGAAAGCATTGTGACAAATGAATTTAGCAGTACTCTGGAGGGCAATCACGAACTGAACGATGCAGTCATAAAATGTCTCCACAGTGCTGCTGATATAGCCTTAAAAGTGAAAAAGCCTCCCAAAAATTCTGCCCGTAAGAAATGGTTCGACCCACAAGTCAACTCCTCACGGCGGAACCTAAATAGGCTAGCAAACCGGCTTGGTAGTAAGCACTGTAACTGTATCCTCAGACGAGAATACTTTAAGCAACGCAACAAGCATAGCAATTTTGTAAACAGTAAGAAAGTAGCTTTCCTTAAGAAGTTAAATGAAGCTATAGAAGAAGGTCACATACTCGACTGGAAAAAATTTAAACGGCTTAAACAAGAACATGACACTAGCCCCTTACTTGACAAATTTGATTTAGCTAGCTTCCATGACTTCTTTGCATCCCTTTATAAAAAACCAGACCAGGAGCCAGATCTCACTCACCACAATCACAAACATTACCCTGAACCACCAGATCTGGATATCCTAAATAAGCTCATGTCAGAATCTGAAGTGACCTCTGCCATCAAAAATCTCAAAAAAGGTAAAAGTTGCTCAAACGACTTGATATCCAACGAGATGCTTCAGAGCGTAACTCCGCTTTGTCTCAAAGCCATCCTCAAAAACTTCAACCACTCACTGGTCTCTGGTTACTATCCATGGCACACCAGCATCATTACTCCTATTTACAAGTCTGGCAACCCTTTCAGCCCGGACAACTACAGAGCAATAGCTGTTGGTAGCTGTATGGGTAAACTATTTTCTAGCATCTTACTTGAGCGTCTCCTGCACTTCAAAAAGCTCTACTGCCCTGACCCAAAAGAACAACTAGGGTTCTCGAAGGGTGCTCAAACAAATGACCACGTTTTTACCCTTAAGACAGTCATTGACAAATATACCAAGGTTAAGAAAGCTCGCCTCTATGCATGCTTTGTTGATCTAAGAAAGGCCTTTGACACTGTATGTAGGGACCTCCTTCTGCACAAAATCACATGCCTTGGAATAACTGGAAACTTCTTCAATTGCCTAAGTGATATGTATAGAAACTCAATAGCTCATATAAAAATCTCCAAACTCCTGTCCCCTAATATTGACATTGGAAAAGGAACAGAGCAGGGACACCCCCTATCACCGGACCTTTTTAAAATCTATATCAACGACTTGTCATCTCTCCTGAAATCTGTTGGTGATTATCCTATTCTAGCTGACGTCCTAATATCACATCTGCTCTGGGCTGACGATCTTGTCCTACTTGCCCTAAGTCCCAAGGCCTTGCAAGACAATATAAACATCCTATTCGACTTCTGTAACTGTATGGGCCTTGAAGTAAACATTAAAAAAACCAAGATTCTCATATTCTGCCCTCCTAAAAGAAAACAATCCTATGAAACATTCATTTTGGGAGGCCAGCCCATCCAACACACCGAAAAATACTGCTATCTTGGCATTATATTCCACAGAAATGGATCTTTTACAGCAGCAAATACTGAACTGAGGGCCAAGGCTCTCCGTGCTCTCTATGGCCTCAAAGGCAATATCGTCAAAGATGCCCTCTCTCACCGTTCCCTAAACATTCTATTTGACTCTCTAATAAAACCGATACTGCTCTATGGCTGCCAAATCTTATGTCCTCACTCAAAAACCATGAGATACCTCTCCAAAACAGATAGCAAAGCCAACCCCCAGCATACTCTCAGGTACATCTCACAAGACCACTATGAAAGATTCCACCTTAAGTTTATCAAGTGGTCCTTGTCTGTCCATTCAAAAGCATCAAATATAGGCTGCTGGGGCGAAAGTGGGCGCCACCCCCTCTTCTTTGAAGCCTGCAAACTTGCAATAGATTTCTATAGTCGTCTTGAAAGCACTGAAAATGAACTTCTCTCCGCTGCATTTCACGAGCAGATTATGCTGGGCCTTCCTTGGTACACCAACATCTCTAATCTTCTCACCAAATATAACTTCCCCCACTCATCCTCTTCAAAATCCAAGCTCTCTACCCAAATCAGTCACAACATGAGGGAAGAATTTGTGGATACCTGGAAATCTGCCAAGGCATCCTCACCTAAATTAGAATTCTACAATCAAATTAAACATGATTTTGAACCAGAAACATACTTAGGAGTGGTTAAGATCCCCGATGCTCGGAAAAGCTTAACAAGGTTTCGTATTAGCTGCCACAATCTTTACATTGAGAGGGGCCGTTACGAAACCCCCCTAGTACCAAGAGAACATCGATGGTGCACTTTTTGCTTTCTCAGCAAGGGGCTTAAGCCTATTGAGGACGAAATTCATGTTCTAACTGACTGTTTACTCTACTCCTCAGTTAGAGAAAAATTTAACTTCCATCCCAAAAATATTACTGACCTAGCCGGTTTGCTATCCGATAAAACACTAGACCCTACAAAATTTACTGCCACAGCAAGAGCAATCCATTCAATTCTCTCTGTGAACGAACATTTTACAGCCTACTATAAGAGCCCAGATTTCCACTCAAATACTGGCCAATGCATAATGCTATAGGACCTCAAAAATAGTATTATAAAACATTTCTATTTTATCCCTACACATTTGTAAATAACTAGAATTGTGTAACCTTAAATTATTTCAGAATTATAACTATTGTGAATTCAATAAAATAATTATCACTTTTGTATCCTTGTATCCTTGTTGTATCCTTGTATCCTACAATGTATTTTCAGACCGTCTATACAATTTATAAATACAATGAAGTTGCATTCGGTGAACATATTACATACTCAAATGCTCGATTTTATCCAAACCAAGAAACTTGCCTTGTATCTTTGTGCCTGATCAAAATAATCTTACCTGACGATTATAAACATTTCTATATAACAGTACAATTCACGACTGCAGTTTTGAGATAATCCTCCTTTTTTCAGTGAGTAAGAAAAGTTTCGATTTCCTGACCCAGGTACACACCCTCCCCAACATTGACTTGTCCAAACTCAACATCTCACTCTATAACCATGTTCCAGAACTTGCTAAAGTCAGGGATTACCGGTAATGACCCGTCTTTCGTGTGATATATTTACGTCTTCAGTTTACAAATCAGTGAAACACAAACATACTATGCGGGGGAACTACAGACCCCCTCAAAGTCCTTTTCAACGTTACTGCCAGGTTGCATAGCACTGAAAATCAATAACATCAGAAATTCAAATTCAAAGCAATGCCGTCATAGTATTACAATGGATTGAAATTTATAAAATGTCACAATATATATTATGCCAAAGTTCAAACTATATTTACTAGAGTAATTTTCTTTCGCAATAAAAATCGATGACATTAACGACGATAAAGCTCTTAATTATTCAATTGAATACTCCCAATTGGATACTGGTATTCTTACTTGAACATTTATACCTAATTGTTTACTTCTCAGGCGTATGTTGAACATGGTGAGAGAGTACTTGGTGAGATGTAACAGTAAAGATGAAGTTTCTTACGAGGTCATAAGGTGAGTTGAGCTCCTCTCTCTCTCTCTCTCTCTCTCTCTCTCTCTCTCTCTCTCTCTCTCTCTCTCTCTCTCTCTCTCTCTCTCTCTCTCTCTCTCTCTCTCTCTCTCTCTCTCTCTCTCTCTCTCTCTCTCTCTCTCTCTCTCTCTCTCTCTCTCTCTCTCTCTCTCTCTCTCTCTCTCTCTCTCTCTCTCTCTCTCTCTCTCTCTCTCTCTCTCTCTCTCTCTCTCTCTCTCTCTCTCTCTCTCTCTCTCTCTCTCTCTCTCTCTCTCTCTCTCTCTCTCTCTCTCTCTCTCTCTCTCTCTCTCTCTCTCTCTCTCTCTCTCTCTCTCTCTCTCTCTCTCTCTCTCTCTCTCTCTCTCTCTCTCTCTCTCTCTCTCTCTCTCTCTCTCTCTCTCTCTCTCTCTCTCTCTCTCTCTCTCTCTCTCTCTCTCTCTCTCTCTCTCTCTCTCTCTCTCTCTCTCTCTCTCTCTCTCTCTCTCTCTCTCTCTCTCTCTCTCTCTCTCTCTCTCTCTCTCTCTCTCTCTCTCTCTCTCTCTCTCTCTCTCTCTCTCTCTCTCTCTCTCTCTCTCTCTCTCTCTCTCTCTCTCTCTCTCTCTCTCTCTCTCTCTCTCTCTCTCTCTCTCTCTCTCTCTCTCTCTCTCTCTCTCTCTCTCTCTCTCTCTCTCTCTCTCTCTCTCTCTCTCTCTCTCTCTCTCTCTCTCTCTCTCTCTCTCTCTCTCTCTCTCTCTCTCTCTCTCTCTCTCTCTCTCTCTCTCTCTCTCTCTCTCTCTCTCTCTCTCTCTCTCTCTCTCTCTCTCTCTCTCTCTCTCTCTCTCTCTCTCTCTCTCTCTCTCTCTCTCTCTCTCTCTCTCTCTCTCTCTCTCTCTCTCTCTCTCTCTCTCTCTCTCTCTCTCTCTCTCTCTCTCTCTCTCTCTCTCTCTCTCTCTATCTATGAGCTATTTCGTACATTCTTCATATTAACCATTTTGCAGTTCCACTTATTGTACTAATTTCACGTCTCTGCTGCGGTTAAACATGTGCCTTAATACTCATACTGCTCAACTATGGATACATGCACTCTTTGGCATGAAATTCTTACAAAATTCTTCACGAGCAGTAACATCTCATTATGTATTTGAAAAAACTTTCTTGTCACACGAAATTTGACTTTATAATATCAGCTGAATATACAGCAAATTGACCATATTTTTAAACTTTTAAAAGCATTACAAAACTTGCCATTTTTTCTGTTCTATCGAATTTCAGAGCCATGTCAACAGTTGTTTGGCTTCCGTAGGTCCCCGAATTAATACTGAGATAAGTCTTATCTCAATTTCTTGGAAAGTGGAAATCCTAGGTTTTCCAGAACCAAGCAAATTTATTAAATTTGTAAGCCAATTTCAAATAAAAAGCCTGTCTCAAATTTCAAATAAATTGGTGTATATGTATTTGACCCAAAATCCTAAAATTACATTGGGTCTAGTAGAAACAAGACAGTTGGCTGTCTACTTGAGTAATATTAGTGCCAGTAGCGGAGTTGCATGAGGGCTTTTAATGTTCGAACCACAGATGACAGATCACAGATGACTGTTTAAAATGAGAATTGAAATAGAGCATATTTGAATTCGGTAATTGCTTAGTTACACGCGGAGACATAAACTGGTCAACGGATCTTTCAAATTGGTCAACTATCTCTCTGACAACATTGTCTGGTCATTTATCCTGTGAAGGTCTGTAACTAAAGGAAACGTCTGTGATGTACGACTTTTGTTGACTGCTAACTTCCTAATTGCTAATTGCACGTTACTATCGTATTATCCCAGTATCAGAGGCGCTCTAAGTATTCTATCTTAACGTTACTTACTTTATCTTAACGTGATCTCATCCATGGATGCATCATGACAATGCTATGCGTGGGTAGGCGTCCACCTGCCATTCTCAACAATTTTCAGTGCCACGCTCTGAAGAATAGAGAGTGATGGAAAATGGACACTTTTTACTGAGTCATCATAAATCTCAGTTCAGTAGAGCACTAAATTCTAAATATTCGGCGGTATTAAAATGCGGAAACCAGTGGTTTCGATAAACGCTTTTATTACAAGCGAAATTAGAAATACTCTTCTTAACTCCATACTCCTCAATACTCCTCAATAAATGCAGTAAGGGTTGTTAATTCAGAGCAGACTGGTGTATGTACAAATATTTGTCTAATTTCACCTCTTCTTTTATCCTTTTATCATTTTATAGACTGACAGTCTAGTTTACTGTGGGCTGACTAAAAGTGGGCGTCAACCATCGGCCCAGCATTGTGATGTATTTGGTTTTAAGATGGTTTCATGGATTAATTGATAGAATTACTGCCTGTCACACCGACCAGCGAGCCGCCTTCTTTCAATGATTTACGTCATGTAATCCTAAATTTGTCGTTTTAATTGAGACCATACAGATAAGAGTCTACATGTTTACACAAAACAATTCGGATTATTTTGTATAATTAAAATGGTTAGAACTCCGAAATAAAATACAGGAAAAATACGCTTTCTAGCTTCCTGATATCTATATATAGAGATATACTATACTATCACTTTTAGTCATTTTACTCCAATCTCATTTAAACACCATAAAACCATCAATCCTACTGAAAAGTGAAAACAATTTAGAAACAGTCGTAGCTGGAATTGTGAGTCAAATCTCGCTGAAGGCTTTTCTGAGTTTGGTCTCTGATTCCTAACCTGAATGAGAAATAACCGAATACGTAATGTAGAAGTTGCCCCCCCCCCCCCCCACAACGTAATGTAGAAGTTGCCCCCCCCCCCCCCCACAACGTAATGTAGAAGTTGCCCCCCCCCCCCACAACGTAATGTAGAAGTTGCTCCCCCCCCCCCCCCCCAGAACATTCCGCAACCGAAATCTGTCAATCACGTGACAACCTCGTGTTACTCTCAACTAATCTGACCTCTGACTAATCTGACCACTCTTCCCAGGAAGAAGCTAGGAACACACCAGTACTACTAATCTCCCTCTCTCCCCAGGAAGAAGCTAGGAACACACCAGTACTACTAATCTCCCTCTCTCCCCAGGAAGAAGCTAGGAACACACCAGTACTACTAATCTCCCTCTCTCCCCAGGAAGAAGCTAGGAACACACCAGTACTACTGGGACTAATCTCCCACTCTCCCCAGGAAGAAGCTAGGAACACACCAGTACTACTAATCTCCCACTCTCCCCAGGAAGAAGCTAGGAACACACCAGTACTACTAATCTCCCACTCTCCCCAGGAAGAAGCTAGGAACACACCAGTACTACTAATCGCCCACTCTTCCCAGGAAGAAGCTAGGAACACACCAGTACTACTAATCTCCCTCTCTCCCCAGGAAGAAGCTAGGAACACACCAGTACTACTAATCTCCCTCTCTCCCCAGAACATTCCGCAACCGAAATCTGTCAATCACGTGACAACCTCGTGTTACTCTCAACTAATCTGACCTCTGACTAATCTGACCACTCTTCCCAGGAAGAAGCTAGGAACACACCAGTACTACTAATCTCCCTCTCTCCCCAGGAAGAAGCTAGGAACACACCAGTACTACTAATCTCCCTCTCTCCCCAGGAAGAAGCTAGGAACACACCAGTACTACTAATCTCCCTCTCTCCCCAGGAAGAAGCTAGGAACACACCAGTACTACTGGGACTAATCTCCCACTCTCCCCAGGAAGAAGCTAGGAACACACCAGTACTACTAATCTCCCACTCTCCCCAGGAAGAAGCTAGGAACACACCAGTACTACTAATCTCCCACTCTCCCCAGGAAGAAGCTAGGAACACACCAGTACTACTAATCTCCCTCTCTCCCCAGGAAGAAGCTAGGAACACACCAGTACTACTAATCTCCCTCTCTCCCCAGGAAGAAGCTAGGAACACACCAGTACTACTAATCTCCCTCTCTCCCCAGGAAGAAGCTAGGAACACACCAGTACTACTAATCTCCCTCTCTCCCCAGGAAGAAGCTAGGAACACACCAGTACTACTAATCTCCCTCTCTCCCCAGGAAGAAGCTAGGAACACACCAGTACTACTAATCTCCCTCTCTCCCCAGGAAGAAGCTAGGAACACACCAGTACTACTAATCTCCCTCTCTCCCCAGGAAGAAGCTAGGAACACACCAGTACTACTAATCTCCCTCTCTCCCCAGGAAGAAGCTAGGAACACACCAGTACTACTAATCTCCCTCTCTCCCCAGGAAGAAGCTAGGAACACACCAGTACTACTAATCTCCCTCTCTCCCCAGGAAGAAGCTAGGAACACACCAGTACTACTAATCTCCCTCTCTCCCCAGGAAGAAGCTAGGAACACACCAGTACTACTAATCTCCCTCTCTCCCCAGGAAGAAGCTAGGAACACACCAGTACTACTAATCTCCCTCTCTCCCCAGGAAGAAGCTAGGAACACACCAGTACTACTAATCTCCCTCTCTCCCCAGGAAGAAGCTAGGAACACACCAGTACTACTAATCTCCCTCTCTCCCCAGGAAGAAGCTAGGAACACACCAGTACTACTAATCTCCCTCTCTCCCCAGGAAGAAGCTAGGAACACACCAGTACTACTGGGACTAATCTCCCACTCTCCCCAGGAAGAAGCTAGGAACACACCAGTACTACTAATCTCCCACTCTCCCCAGGAAGAAGCTAGGAACACACCAGTACTACTAATCTCCCACTCTCCCCAGGAAGAAGCTAGGAACACACCAGTACTACTAATCGCCCACTCTTCCCAGGAAGAAGCTAGGAACACACCAGTACTACTAATCTCCCTCTCTCCCCAGGAAGAAGCTAGGAACACACCAGTACTACTAATCTCCCTCTCTCCCCAGAACATTCCGCAACCGAAATCTGTCAATCACGTGACAACCTCGTGTTACTCTCAACTAATCTGACCTCTGACTAATCTGACCACTCTTCCCAGGAAGAAGCTAGGAACACACCAGTACTACTAATCTCCCTCTCTCCCCAGGAAGAAGCTAGGAACACACCAGTACTACTAATCTCCCTCTCTCCCCAGGAAGAAGCTAGGAACACACCAGTACTACTAATCTCCCTCTCTCCCCAGGAAGAAGCTAGGAACACACCAGTACTACTGGGACTAATCTCCCACTCTCCCCAGGAAGAAGCTAGGAACACACCAGTACTACTAATCTCCCACTCTCCCCAGGAAGAAGCTAGGAACACACCAGTACTACTAATCTCCCACTCTCCCCAGGAAGAAGCTAGGAACACACCAGTACTACTAATCTCCCTCTCTCCCCAGGAAGAAGCTAGGAACACACCAGTACTACTAATCTCCCTCTCTCCCCAGGAAGAAGCTAGGAACACACCAGTACTACTAATCTCCCTCTCTCCCCAGGAAGAAGCTAGGAACACACCAGTACTACTAATCTCCCTCTCTCCCCAGGAAGAAGCTAGGAACACACCAGTACTACTAATCTCCCTCTCTCCCCAGGAAGAAGCTAGGAACACACCAGTACTACTAATCTCCCTCTCTCCCCAGGAAGAAGCTAGGAACACACCAGTACTACTAATCTCCCTCTCTCCCCAGGAAGAAGCTAGGAACACACCAGTACTACTAATCTCCCTCTCTCCCCAGGAAGAAGCTAGGAACACACCAGTACTACTAATCTCCCTCTCTCCCCAGGAAGAAGCTAGGAACACACCAGTACTACTAATCTCCCTCTCTCCCCAGGAAGAAGCTAGGAACACACCAGTACTACTAATCTCCCTCTCTCCCCAGGAAGAAGCTAGGAACACACCAGTACTACTAATCTCCCTCTCTCCCCAGGAAGAAGCTAGGAACACACCAGTACTACTAATCTCCCTCTCTCCCCAGGAAGAAGCTAGGAACACACCAGTACTACTAATCTCCCTCTCTCCCCAGGAAGAAGCTAGGAACACACCAGTACTACTAATCTCCCTCTCTCCCCAGGAAGAAGCTAGGAACACACCAGTACTACTAATCTCCCTCTCTCCCCAGGAAGAAGCTAGGAACACACCAGTACTACTAATCTCCCTCTCTCCCCAGGAAGAAGCTAGGAACACACCAGTACTACTAATCTCCCTCTCTCCCCAGGAAGAAGCTAGGAACACACCAGTACTACTAATCTCCCTCTCTCCCCAGGAAGAAGCTAGGAACACACCAGTACTACTAATCTCCCTCTCTCCCCAGGAAGAAGCTAGGAACACACCAGTACTACTAATCTCCCTCTCTCCCCAGGAAGAAGCTAGGAACACACCAGTACTACTAATCTCCCTCTCTCCCCAGGAAGAAGCTAGGAACACACCAGTACTACTAATCTCCCTCTCTCCCCAGGAAGAAGCTAGGAACACACCAGTACTACTAATCTCCCTCTCTCCCCAGGAAGAAGCTAGGAACACACCAGTACTACTAATCTCCCTCTCTCCCCAGGAAGAAGCTAGGAACACACCAGTACTACTAATCTCCCTCTCTCCCCAGGAAGAAGCTAGGAACACACCAGTACTACTAATCTCCCTCTCTCCCCAGGAAGAAGCTAGGAACACACCAGTACTACTAATCTCCCTCTCTCCCCAGGAAGAAGCTAGGAACACACCAGTACTACTAATCTCCCTCTCTCCCCAGGAAGAAGCTAGGAACACACCAGTACTACTAATCTCCCTCTCTCCCCAGGAAGAAGCTAGGAACACACCAGTACTACTAATCTCCCTCTCTCCCCAGGAAGAAGCTAGGAACACACCAGTACTACTAATCTCCCTCTCTCCCCAGGAAGAAGCTAGGAACACACCAGTACTACTAATCTCCCTCTCTCCCCAGGAAGAAGCTAGGAACACACCAGTACTACTAATCTCCCTCTCTCCCCAGGAAGAAGCTAGGAACACACCAGTACTACTAATCTCCCTCTCTCCCCAGGAAGAAGCTAGGAACACACCAGTACTACTAATCTCCCTCTCTCCCCAGGAAGAAGCTAGGAACACACCAGTACTACTAATCTCCCTCTCTCCCCAGGAAGAAGCTAGGAACACACCAGTACTACTAATCTCCCTCTCTCCCCAGGAAGAAGCTAGGAACACACCAGTACTACTAATCTCCCTCTCTCCCCAGGAAGAAGCTAGGAACACACCAGTACTACTAATCTCCCTCTCTCCCCAGGAAGAAGCTAGGAACACACCAGTACTACTAATCTCCCTCTCTCCCCAGGAAGAAGCTAGGAACACACCAGTACTACTAATCTCCCTCTCTCCCCAGGAAGAAGCTAGGAACACACCAGTACTACTAATCTCCCTCTCTCCCCAGGAAGAAGCTAGGAACACACCAGTACTACTAATCTCCCTCTCTCCCCAGGAAGAAGCTAGGAACACACCAGTACTACTAATCTCCCTCTCTCCCCAGGAAGAAGCTAGGAACACACCAGTACTACTAATCTCCCTCTCTCCCCAGGAAGAAGCTAGGAACACACCAGTACTACTAATCTCCCTCTCTCCCCAGGAAGAAGCTAGGAACACACCAGTACTACTAATCTCCCTCTCTCCCCAGGAAGAAGCTAGGAACACACCAGTACTACTAATCTCCCTCTCTCCCCAGGAAGAAGCTAGGAACACACCAGTACTACTAATCTCCCTCTCTCCCCAGGAAGAAGCTAGGAACACACCAGTACTACTAATCTCCCTCTCTCCCCAGGAAGAAGCTAGGAACACACCAGTACTACTAATCTCCCTCTCTCCCCAGGAAGAAGCTAGGAACACACCAGTACTACTAATCTCCCTCTCTCCCCAGGAAGAAGCTAGGAACACACCAGTACTACTAATCTCCCTCTCTCCCCAGGAAGAAGCTAGGAACACACCAGTACTACTAATCTCCCTCTCTCCCCAGGAAGAAGCTAGGAACACACCAGTACTACTAATCTCCCTCTCTCCCCAGGAAGAAGCTAGGAACACACCAGTACTACTAATCTCCCTCTCTCCCCAGGAAGAAGCTAGGAACACACCAGTACTACTAATCTCCCTCTCTCCCCAGGAAGAAGCTAGGAACACACCAGTACTACTAATCTCCCTCTCTCCCCAGGAAGAAGCTAGGAACACACCAGTACTACTAATCTCCCTCTCTTCCCAGGAAGAAGCTAGGAACACACCAGTACTATTAATCTCCCTCTCTCCCCAGGAAGAAGCTAGGAACACACCAGTACTACTAATCTCCCTCTCTCCCCAGGAAGAAGCTAGGAACACACCAGTACTACTAATCTCCCTCTCTCCCCAGGAAGAAGCTAGGAACACACCAGTACTACTAATCTCCCTCTCTCCCCAGGAAGAAGCTAGGAACACACCAGTACTACTAATCTCCCTCTCTCCCCAGGAAAAAGCTAGGAACACACCAGTACTACTAATCTCCCTCTCTCCCCAGGAAGAAGCTAGGAACACACCAGTACTACTAATCTCCCTCTCTCCCCAGGAAGAAGCTAGGAACACACCAGTACTACTAATCTCCCTCTCTCCCCAGGAAGAAGCTAGGAACACACCAGTACTACTAATCTCCCTCTCTCCCCAGGAAAAAGCTAGGAACACACCAGTACTACTAATCTCCCTCTCTCCCCAGGAAGAAGCTAGGAACACACCAGTACTACTAATCTCCCTCTCTTCCCAGGAAGAAGCTAGGAACACACCAGTACTACTAATCTCCCTCTCTCCCCAGGAAGAAGCTAGGAACACACCAGTACTACTGGGACTCCCCGCACCTCTACAGCATAGCTGACCTCACCAAGTCATTTTCCGGCCAACTTCAGAGCTACCTCAAGAAACTCTCTCAGAAATGTGTCCACCATGTTTACTGCTGCAAGAAGTGGGTACTTTTAGATTACGAAACTAATTGAAAAACAGTATTTACTATATATAATATATATATTATATAGTATTTACTTCCCTGCTCCTATGCAGCAAAGGTTTTGTATTGGAGATAAATAAGTTACACAATACGGTGCCCATATCTGAGTGGTTCTCCATCATCAGATGGAGCGGTAATATTATACATAATACATTACATAGTATACATACATCGTTATATTATACATATTACATATACATAGTATACATACATCGTTATATTATACATATTACATATACATAGTATACATACATCGTTATATTATACATATTACATATACATAGTATACATACAGTATGATTGATTTTATTTAAACCAACCTGTTAAAACTAAACCAAAAACTAAAGCAAACCCGAAGATAACAGACCTAGCCGTAACAATAGCCTAACTAAGGCAATAACTGATAATTCTGCAACGTACTCTTGGAAGACATAATATTATGAATTATCAATGGTTCAGACTTAAAGAGGAAGAGAGTTCCAATCTTCAACTTAAGATTCTTATTGAAGATCATTCCTATCCCTTCTACAATGTTTCTCGGGTTCGATAAGATACCCCAGCCACAATCTCGTTTCTCCTGTACCTTTGCAGTATCAGCTTCCTTACAGGTGTACAGATAGGACAACATTTTTAACATGTTTGTTTTGTAACTCAATCTCATAGTCAAGCGATTATATTAACTTCCGTGAAATTTAGACACCCACCACTGAGAGTATCGCCCACTAATTGGCTAATAAAGTTAGGGTCGCTCGAGTAGATACAGCATACCATGGCTTTCTCTACTCTCCTCTCTACATTGTTTACATTTGCATTGCCACGTTTTGTCTCTGTTCACGCAATCATGACACATCCGTTTTAACCGGTAATACTGAGCACTAGTAGTTTCTTATTGTTAACACGATTAGTTATTTAACTATGCCATCTCTTATCACTAGTTACAAGTTATAGTATTGCGAGTTATTTTAGTATTCTCTCACATTCAATTCTTCAATACTCGAACGATGTTACAGAAATAAAGTAGCTGAATGGCTGAACAACCATCTAAGAAGAAGCAGAAACCAGGAGGATCATTTTGGGCAGTAGGTGGTTGCTCGAATCGTGGTAGCCGAAACAAAGTAAGTGATCACAGTGGAAGAGGATTTCTAAGATACATCAGACTACCCACAGATCAAGCTTTAAAGCAAAAATGGGTTTTGAGGATGAATAGAGATCCACGATCATGGCAACCTAGCTTAAGTACAAAAGTTTGTACTGATCACTTTCCTGAGTAACTTTCAAGAGGGCGATTTGAAACGATATCATGCTCGAACCAATCCTGAAACTCGCACATTGATTCGCTTGAAAGTCGATAGTGTACCAAATACAGATCGAAGGACTGGTAGTTTCGCCAACCCTCTAGTCCAAACAACGACAAGACGACCACCCCCTAAAGAAAGACATCAACCTCCTCACCAGTAAGGTGCTCCAGCCTCTAGAACTTCTACTGTCTCGTTGACAAGACGATTGACATTGAACGTAGCTAAAACTAGTTTATTACAAGCTATTTTTGTCGAAGCTTTAGCCACAGAAGATAGTATAGGATACAATTGATACTAGGTTTGTCATCTTTCTTCTGTTGCATCCCTTCGATTTGTGTGCAGCTGCAAAATGGAAACACACTGGATCAGTATTATACTTGTTACACTTACAGTAATCACTGGATCAGTATTATACTTGTTACACTTACAGTAATCACTGCCAGTATTATACTTGTTACACTTACAGTAATCACTGCCAGTATTATACTTGTTACACTTACAGTAATCACTCATGTGTCCGAAGCTCTGACAGTCAAAGCACTGGATTACATGATACCTAACCTTGTCCCAGGTCGGCGTGTACAAAGTCACCTGACTCCCTTATAGAGTATAGACTGCCTGATTCTGACTGACACTTACATAACAGATTATTAAATGTTTTACTTTGCGAGGCATAATCATTTTGTCCCGTCTCACTTCATTAAAAGTTAAAACATTGTGTATCTTATTTTTGTAGACTCTACAGCAATGCCAATATATAGACCAGTTGTGTAAGTTATTGCAGTCATCTGTCTAAATGTTAAAATGCACCTTAAAACATTTATGCATTTTTTAAATTCCGCAGTTTACCTCTGACATTCCCTGTGTGGCATTTAAGTATACAACCCACAAAGATTTTAAATCTGTTAAACCCTGCAAATCGTTATCTTCTGACGTCCTCTAAGTTCTGTACGGTATTTAAGTATACAATCGTTCGTCATGATCAGTCAAGAACATTTAGTTGGCCGTTATATCGGTAACGAACATATTTTAATCACCCACAATTGAGGGCCATATAATGACTACTGACGAACGACGATTCCCTCTACAATTGAAGGTTGCGGATAATTCGACCACTCGGTCACTATTCCTTGGTCACATGATTCTAATTACATAAAGCCGTTACTCGTCATCATTAAGTTGTTATAATTTAGTATAGTTGTGATATTTTAACACGAGCTCACTATATGGCCCTCTATATAAGAAACATGAGGACGCTACAAGTGACTCTCACAGTAGCTCACAAGGCCGCTCTAATTTACTCACTCAATTAACCAACGTTTCTACAAGATAAGTAACTCAACACATGGTGCACAGTGTTTTTATAGTAACAGTGTGTAAGGAGGTGGGGGAGAACAAAGACCCTAGCCCCAGGTGAGATACTCCTTCATCTCCCTCAATCTACTCCACCGCGTCAAATCACGTGACTCCCCCTCTCGCTCTCTCCTGGACTCAACTTGAATTACAGTTCTCCATTATATACAGAATATACAGTTTCCTGCTACGTTTATCTGGTGATTGTTTAACGTTAGTCGGACCAGCCAGATCCGGTCGCCTAATTAAGATCGGGAAGACAGGGCAGGCTACAATTTTAGACGTATTTCAGTCTGAGTGCGGCGAGCAGCTCATTTAGAAAGTAAACCCGCTATGTTTCGTTTGACGGGCGTTGGTGGTATCTTGTTGTGTTGTTGGGTGTGTGGTATCTGGTCAGTACCCCACTACTATATTGTAGTGCGGTTATCAGACCCCGCCCCCCTCATCCCTATCAGTGCTCAGTTCAGACTTCTTCAGCCCTCCAACAGTACCAGAGTATGGGATTGTGTCAGTGGGCTGACACCCATAGAGTACGCTCTGGGAGAGGACCAAGTGGTTAAAGCCCAGAGTATAGACATGAGTGTGGGGGATGTGGTGGAATGTTTGGGACTGAGTGTAAGAGTAGTCCAGAGTGAACATGTTCCCAGATGGGACGGAGAGGACACCACGTGTCCAGGACTGCTGACTTCCACTTCTCAGTTGGAGAGGAGCGACTCAGGGACTACCGAGTATTTCCAACTCGCACCGCTCACTCAATTCCACGTGTTCATCAGTAAGCCCAGTGACGCGTGTGTAACTGAACACGTGCAGATTGTACCCTCACCCGGACTATCATTCAGCTACAAAGACAACACAGTTCACTCCTGTTTAGTTAAATCACAACACCTAGACCTGATGTCATGCAACCTGACGATATCTACACGAGAAGGAGATAGTATCTCGCTGGCTGTGAGAACACCTCGTATCTTGATCCCCCGGTATATCCTGGATGTGGGAGTCGAGGAACTTCTGTGTAACTCTCGATGTGAGATCCTAAACTCTGACACGCACGTGGTCCGTGAGGAAACCATCACCTACAAGAACCACAGCTACACCTTCCTCCCTCCCGAACTGGAGACATACCACACCCCCGCCCCTACTGATCCCGTCTGCAAAGACTTCATCATCACTATCTGTGTGGTCTCCTTCTTCCTCCTCCTCACAACCATCACTACAGTCTTCCTACTGCACCTCACCCGGGACTTGAGAAGGAAGCTAGCCAGAGCTACTGGTCGGAGGAGTAGGATTACTGGAATGAAGAGACCGCCTGGAACCCCCGACCAGCTCCACCCTGAAGTGGATTATTCCAGAATACACCGCATAACTAACGAGTGTCACCACTACAACACCCTCTCCCTCCGGTTATCTGATTGTGGCAAGGAAAGTGTCACCACAAAGTCACAGACTTTCCCTGTCTACCAGAAACTATGTTTTGCTGAGCAGGATGAGACGCTGTGAAACTAGTGTAGCTCTTAGTAACCATGGTAACTAGTGTAGCTCGTAGTAACCATGGTAACTAGTAGCTCTTTAGAGCTGATCCAAAAAACTTCGTAACTTTCACGTGAAAAGTTGTTCATTTCGCGGTCTTAATACCAATCCGACTGAAAGACATAAAGAAAAGATATAAGAACTTGAATCTTGATGAGAAAAGAAATAAGAACTTGACAACTCTGAAATAATTTTTTACTCGTAGATTATGTTAGATTGTGTTAGATTGTGTTAGATTTTGTTACCTTAGATTGTTTTTATGTGCAGAATTTTAATATCTCGATAGGTATGTGTGTGGTGATGCGCTCTTCAATGAGTAGTAAGGTTGTGTTTGATATGTCGAATACATGAGACTTCCAACACTTTTATTTGAATACTATGGCTTTTCGTTCTGGCTGATGATTTTGTAGGGCGATATATATTCTAGAAGCTACCGTCGCTTGGCGACTGCAAATACTTAGCCCACTAAATTCTAAATTGTTTACAAACACTAAACGTTAAAGTTAAACATGATTGTTTTACATGATTTTACTCGAATATGAGCTTTATGTCAGTCGATATCTTTTCGATTATTTTACCCATTAAACGTAAAGTAGTATAAAATATTGCAAATGTGTTGGCGTTTTTATTACTTTTGATTGCTTACTCTATTTGAAGATCTGACCGATTTATATAACTTCTGAATCTCAATTTGTAAAATCCTACCCAGTAGGTAAATTACTCTAATTAAATTAATTACGCCAGGATATAATAGACCTCCGAATTAAGACAACAATACGTCTAGTCTATTAATCAGGCTTACTATATCAAAGCTACACAATAAGCTTCCTCGTACTAAGTTACTGCATATCCGGCAATTATACCCGGTCAATATGAGGTCTACAACTCAACTATGTGATCTTTATAACGTTAAAGTTGCAAACTATGTAGGTTAAAGTTTAAAGTGAGTTCAATTAAAAGTACAGAACGCAAATACAGTAGATACTGATGAAGGCTTTATCCAGTAAACCCAATAAATATCGCATACCAATCTTCTCTTATTATCATTTTTAATGTATTGAATTTTTGCAGGTGTTCAAGTCTTGGTTTCATATGTGAGTATTGTCAGAACCCGAAGATAATATTCGCGTTCGAGCTGCAAACTACAGACCAGTGTGCCGGGTGCGGGGCTGTTTACCATAAGTCGTGCAAACGTAACGGCCCCTGTCCAAAGTGCATCAGAAAAGAGTACATCTTGAACAAGAATAAAAGGCATATTACCACTTGAAGAGAAACTTTGGCTAGCGGCTGTTTTAGTTTTACGATTTGATTTTTAGGCGCTCCTTTTTTCGTGGGGCGACCTGTGTTATAATACCGGTTTTGTATTATTTTTGTTGATCGTTTAATAATTTAAAATGTAAAATGACACTAAGACTGTTGATTCTATAACTTGGAAAAGCAGTTTAAAATTGTGTCTGCTACTCTGGGTCTAACATTGTTGTTATTTGTAAATGTAAATTATTGGTAGTTAAGAACTAAGAGTGACGCATGATCTTATATCATAGCTTTTATCTCTGATAAAAGCAACATTTGAAGATTCGATAGCTGCTTCAGCCGAATAATTGTTAGGGTTAAAACAAATTGATATATTGTCTTTTGTAATTAATTATTGACAGTTTGATTTAATAACCAAAACGTCAATTGATGCAGAGTTTTATACAATGTTAATTTTTAACTGGTAAACTCTAAAACTAGCTCATAATCATATTCGTTTTGTTCCCGAAATATGATTGTATTGGCTCAGCATTAATCATGCTATTTGGAATCAAAATTTCTATACAATATTAGATACAATTCCAAGTGTTAAACTTAGCATGATCAATGATTTGACATCACAATCACATTGTGACTAGATTTTGTTAGATAATCATTTGGACAATACTAACGGTCCCGGCCCTAACACACATGTAACAGCACATCTGCACATATCACTATTTTAATCGATAATACTCATGATCTTGTAAGTAAATATATTATCAATATCATGCATTTTAATTAAAGTGGGCTGATTTTTACTGAACTCGTCCTTACTTAAATAGTTTTCCAAGATAACATTTCGTGTTTAATTTGTTACGGCCGTAACGTCCATTTCCTGGGTTACAGTATACAGATATTCTACCAGTACTAGTCCCCTCGTTACAGCATACAGATCAGTACTAGTCCCCTCGTGAAATTTTGCCGCCAAAATGTGATCGAAATGATATGTTCATTGTTCATTACAAAGCTTTATTTTCAACCACACCCTGGTTAACCTACATTCAGGTTATCTAACTGTAGTGTGTTTGTACATAAATATACAGTGTATTTAACCATGCATATATAATTGTATATGCAGTTAAAGTTAAACTTAAGTGGAAACATTTACTCAAAGTTAACTGTCTAGAAACGCACTAATGCTTTTGTTCATTTATAATGAACATCGACTACATGGCACTCTATACGTTCATGCAGCTCCTTGGGATCTGGGATCTCATGCTTAAGTGTTCATAAGATCAAAGATATAGCGCAGTGAAGACTGGCTGCAAATCCTGGCCGTGGATCTGACGGAATATGCGTCAAAAGGTGCAACTATTAAAACTACTGACTGCTGAGTACTATTATATATATATCAACTTTGAAACATGATCATGTTCACGATATTTTCTAAACAACGTTTAAACTTACAATTGTGAGGGGCCATCTACTTAGGACGTCTGCCAAAATCGCAGATAATTTTCAGACCACCTCCTCCCCTGACCGGGTGTGTCTAAATTTGCAAAACCACCCCTCCCCCGGATTTCCAGCTACTTATATACTTTTAACTTTAAGAGTACAAATAAAACCAACTTAAACTCATTGTTAATAAAATGTGTAGTAATACTTGAAATAGACAATAATAAATTTAGTGTCGAACAAGTTTAGCACAGTTACATTTAAATACTTAAGTATAAATTGACCCTCCAATCGAAATCGAATAAGTTTAAAGGCATGGCCATGGCAGTAGGAAAATATGCGAGTTGTGTCCCGGCTCTCATGAGCTGCGGAGCTGCTCTGGGAATCGACTTAGCTTCTCGATCAAAATACAGGGATCTAAACTTACAAGGTAATACTAATTACAAATTAGTGTCAAAGTGAAAGAGTTGAAATAAATGGGACTTTTACGTTATTTTCAGAAACCACCCCCAGCCCTCTCCTTTTCACGTCCGGATTTGTCCGAAAGTCCAAAAGCTATACACTGGGCCACGCGGCCGAGCTGCACGAGGGATTAACGATTGTCATTGTGAATCAATTTGTTGACCATTGTAATTGTAAATGGTCTGGCCCGGCGCGCGCTACTTCGTAGCACTTGCCATTTTGATTTATTTCGAGAAAAAAGCGGCGCGGTGCGCGCTACTTCAAAGAAATTTAGACGATCAGTAACTGAGTAACATCCGTCAAATCAATTTGTAGCGGCAGGTTTATAACTTACCATATATAATACCAGTACTAAGAGTAAGACGCGCGCCGATCAGTTCATGGATCAGATATCAAATATTTTACGCGGAGTATCACGGTGGCGATTAGATTTGGCCCGTTCTTTGATTGACGATGTCAACCCTGGCCCTTCCAGATCGTTGCTCTGCACGAATGCTAGTTTGCGCGTCGAAGCGGCGAAGTCCTCCAAAATAGGCTATCCATTATCGGTATGAAATCTTTTATCTAGATAAACAAATAAAAATTTAGGTTTTATCTAGATAAAACCAATAAAACCGATAATGTTTCTGCTGAAGGCCAAAGCCAAAATGTTTTCCAAATTTCACAAAAACTGATTGTCGACTTTTATTACTGTTTACCAGTAATCTTGCTAAAGTACAACTTTCTTTCTTTTGAAAATATTACATATTAGAGCATCAGTTTTCTTCTCCGGGGAACAATAGTGTACCAGTTCTCTTCAAAACAGTAGACCAACGGTTTGTCTTCTCCTAAGAACCTCATCAGAGCATCTGATAAGATAGCTGCACGGAGGATGAGACTCGCAGGTCATTTAGCGAGACATGAAGAACTATTAGGTCATCAACTTCTCTTCTGGGAACCCCTTCAAGGACATCGTCGAAGGGGAAGACCACATCTCACATACATTGACATCCTTCGGAAGGACACGGGGCTTGACGACAGCAAAGAGATTAACAAACTCATGCTGGATAGACAGATTTGGAAGAAGACTATTTCTGTTCGGACGCTGAAGCCGCCCTAAGTCGAGTCGAGTAAGAACAGTAGTGTACCAGTTCTCTTCAAAACAGTAGACCAAGGGTTTCCTTCTCCTGAGAACAGTAACGCACTAGTTCTCTTCAAAACAGTAGACCACCGGTTTCCTTCTCCTGAGAACAGTAACGCACTAGTTCTCTTCAAAACAGTAGACCACCGGTTTCCTTCTCCTGAGAACAGTAGTGCACCACTACCAGTTCTCTTCAAAACAGTAGACCACCGGTATCCTTCTCCTGAGAACAGTAGTGCAACAAATACCAATTCTCCTCTAAACAGTAAAACATTTAAAGTGATTCAGTGAACCGTTCCGGTTCACAACAGATTCCTTCTCCTGAAGACAATGTTTCACGCCTAGAACACTTACGGAATTTAATTGAGTGCCCTGCCGGTATTTTTGACTCTTGTTAACAGTAACATGCTCGTTCCTGTCTGACCAGTGGCGTAACGAAGGGCCCCGCTGACCCCGCTGTGCAGGGGGGCACCGTCTTAGGGGGGCGCCAAATCGTCGTTTGAATGTGGGACAATTTCGAAAACTTAACTAAAGTACTAGCAAAACTGCGCGTTTTGCTCTAGATACACACTTTTTTAGAGATTTTACCGGCGCGGGCGTATCCTCTAAATAAATCACCTAATTTGTTCAATTTTAGGGAGGGGGCGCCAACAGGGGGGCGCCTTTTCGGCGGGGGGGGGGGGGGGCGCCAACAGGCAACGTTACGCCACTGTAGTACGACGCGGGAATGAGTTTAGACATAAGAAATCTATAAAACGGGGGAAATACTACTACTACTACTAGTACTAGTACTAGTTGCTTATTACGAGGGACCCGTTACTAAGTAACCAAGTAACAGCGTTACTTGGTATTTATATATCCCCGAAAGTTTTATCGTGTGAACTAGCAAACTGCTTTATCTAAATCATTCTTTTCAAACGATGCATAATTAAATTATACAGAATCAAATGCTTCTAAATAAACCCAGACATAAAAGGAGAAAACCAATATAGCCCAAATTTCCAGTAGCCCAGTGTAGGTATCGAAACCCAAATTATGTATTGAAAGAGGGGTAACCACATCCGCAATAACATTGGGTCCTAGAAAAAAATTAATTAATCAGTGAATCAAAACATATAATATTGTACTTAAAGAAAATATATAACTCAGACTCAAGGCTCCTTCTTCGAGCTAACGACTCTAAAGTTTTAGTGTAAAATACGATTGGCAACCAGAACAGTCCTCCCGGGGCGTACCAATGGTCAATACTGCCTGCTCACAAAGGTACGGTAGCGAAGTGGCGTACACGGGTAATTAAAGTGTACAATTACGATAGAAAAGTGTCGTATACTGTACTTAAGAGATATACGGGTATGATATTGAAGTATCGTACACGGGTAATTAAAATGTACAAGGGCACGATAAAGAAGTGTCGTACACGGTACTTTAAGAAATAGACGGGTCCGATATCGAAGTGTCGTACCCGGTTAACTGTAAATCTCTAGCTCTGCAACTACACGTGCTCTGATGAGGAATACGGCGAAGACTCTAGTTACGGTAATAAATATACTTTAACTCTTACAGGCTTCTGAGTGCCGTATAACTTTAAATGATCGCATGACTTGATCGAGTCCTAAGTTAGGTAAGAACAAAGGAAACAGGGGGTTCGAACAATAAGTCTCGAATGGTAATAAATTACTATATTATCAATAAACCAAGACTAGCGACTCTTCGGCCACGTTACAGCGTTTTTCGGCGGTGGTAATTTTATAAACTTCACCCAGCAAGCCACTCGAAAAACTGAATGTAATGGGGCAGATGAGAATTACCAGCACTGGGTCACGTGACATCACATGGCGAACCACGTGACGCCGCGCAGCCCAGTCTGTCCAATAATAATAATATAACCTAACTAACTAACCTGACTACCGCGTGACCTCCATAATCTACTACACTAACCTAATCTAATCTAACGCTAATCCTAACGGTTATTTAACACTAATAGTTATTCTAGAATATTCTAAACGATCTAAAAAGCCTAAATCCTGCTGCAACCAGCTTACCATATTACACTAGTTCTTTAATTGATTACGTGAACTTTGTCCGCGCGGGCTCTGCTGTCCTTTTATTGAGGAGCTGGTCGCGACCAGCTATTCAATAAAAGGACAGCAGAAAGTTGTCGCGACACTTTCGTGTAGGCCATCCTGTCTGCAGCTGATTTATTAGGAGTAATGTAAACTGAGCTAAACCCCTCAACATGTCGTAATAACTTAGTCTTGCTCGATCTGAGGTATAGAAATAAAAGTAAATTTCACTGGCTTGACTCGCTCACTTGTACTTGTGTTCTTTCCAACTCGTTTACAGCTCAAGATTTTCGGTTCTTCGTTGAGATGGTCCAACAGAATACACGATACCTTAGCAGTTAGCATGCAAGTTCTCTTCAGTCTCCGGAAGCCCAAATATTATTAGACTTTTACTTCGATCTTCTTCAACCCTTTTCACTGCAGCCTGGATCTCTTCGGTGCAAAGGCGTTTTTGCACGTGTTTTTCAAAAGAGACGAAAAGGTTTTGATATCTTTCTGAGCTGCAATTTTCACAGTTCCAATCTCACCATACTTCTTCATAGCTAACTTCTCCTGCAAATCACTAATTTTTGCCATGTCTTCTTCTTGCTTGGAGAGTAACTTCTCTCGACCTTGTATTTCTATGATTTTAGTCGTATCTGATATTCTTCTTTCCTGAACATGCGGTTGTCGGTAGCTGTTTCCACGGCGGATTGTAACAATGGACCACAATAATTGTCCAGAATACAGCACACTGTCTCTTACCACTCTGAT